AACTGGAGCTTGTCTCTTTGGTCCGTGATCACCCCCATTTCGGCCCCTGCGTAAACTGAACTAGTTGAAAAAAAAAAAAAAAAAGAGCCCGGCTGTAAAGGATACGAAACCAACCGCTTCGGCAGCATCATTTTCTTTTCCGGTTTCAAAAAGTTTAAAATTTGTTCTTGTAGTTCACAGTTGACCACCATCATTCTCATACTGAGAACTTTCTTCTCCCATTATGTACCAGGTGTTTACCTTAGCTTCTTCTTTCCTCTTCATCACTGGGATTTTTTCTCGTGGGCTTGGACTTCCAGTAATTCCCCCTGGTCTCTGGGTAATGAGATCGGACGCCCGTGTGCATTGTTGCGCACGTAAAAAAATCCCTTGGCAGTTGATAATTGAAAAGAGTAGCCCAACGGCGCTTCCTAGGCAAAATGTGGAGTGAAAAAGCTACCCAAACTATTTCAGGATCCTTGCCGGTGCTACCGAACCTGTGCACTGTGCTGAGCGTCGTCGGACTCAGACTTGAGTTTTAGAAGAAGAACGGAGCACTTATGGATTACTACCCGTGTGCCATGATGTTGATCAGTTGTTCAAACCTCAAATACCATATGCCTTGTACAAACCACTGTGTGGACACTGGGCTTGCACATTGTTTCACATTCGGTGTCTGTGGCTTAGTGGCTCTGAACATGGTTTCAAAATTTCGACATACCGTGTTTAGTTCAGCTGCAGGCGATTTGACAGCATACCGCTTTGCGTTCATTTCGACAACAGTTCAGTAAGCAGTGACAAACAACTGAACGTAAAATTGAACAGAAAACAACAAAAAGTCAACAAATTCCCTGGATGGTCTGCAATATTCTGTAAAGCAAAGCTATTCAACTGGTCCGCGGGTCGAATGCGGACCGCAGATGCGTAGCAAGTGGGAAATGATCACTGCCAATTATAATGACTTCTTCTTCGTCTTCGCGTTCACTGGCAGCAAACTGACCTAGTTAAAATAGCCCTGCTGGAAAGACAACGAAGCCAACCCACTTCAGCAGCGTCATTTGGTGGTGGGGGGGTGGGGGGGGTTAAAAGTTAAAAAAAATTCTCTTGTAGTTGACGGTTGACCACTATCAGTTCCATACTGAAAACTTTCTTCTCCCATTCTGTACCAGGTATTACATTACCTTCTTCTGTCCTCTTCGTCCGCCCTTTTGTCTTCAGCTAGGTATAGGCCGACATTCAAGTAAATAACAAAGCTTTTTTTACTTTATCTTTATCCAAATCCCGCAGCTCATGTCACTACCTCTTCCTGTTTATCTTCTTTTCTCTACTCATGGAATTTCTCGCTGCCTCGGAGCAGGAATAGATCTCTGGAACGGGACTTTCTGTTTGCTTCGTATAAAGAACTTTTCAGTATCCAGGATATTTCTGCGGTCTATGTTCTGCGCGGTCGACCTCTAGCTCTATTACCGCTGTATCTGTATAACATTGCTCTCTGTGGTGCTCTATCTGATGCCTGTTTATCTCTGAGTCTATTTCTCATTTTCAAATGATTTATCATCATCATCATCATCATTATCACCATCGTTGTTCCATGTCTGCTTTCCATGTCTGGCAGTTCGTTGCCACCTGTTTTATTTCTTGATACTCATTAGGCCCATTCTTGGTTGAGACTTCCCTGATGGCTCATACAAATCACACTAGGTTGTAATAAGTGGTTTTGTATTTCTACTCGTTGTCTAGCATGCGTGTGTGGTGGATGATATTCTCACACGCTTCACGTTATACAACTGGCACAAGCCGACACCGATGTGAGCTTACGAGACATGAATTTATTGACGTATTAAGACTTACGACAAACGAGTGGTCCAGTCGGTGTCCTAATGAACAGCTCTCGTACACAAACTCACGCAGCCTTCAACGAACAGTCTTCTTCAGCAGGCATTCAAGCAACGATGGGTCCCATGGATTCAACATTGATGTTTGGACATCTCACACGCTGGCATGGTCGATCTCAGCTCAACACTTCGTCGGCAGGTCTCCTTTCTCCTCAGGCATTCACGTAGACATTCTCACATTCAGACGCTCGTCCTCTCACTCCAACAGGTCGACACAAAACTAAACTTGTCCAGAGTCAAATCTGACTTATACCACGGGTTCGTTTCACGTGACAACACGTGGTGGTCCTTTACTTTTCCCGTGGCGACCTTGGGTCGCATCACCGTGGTCCCCGTGATAACTAGTAGTTAGTCACCTATCTCCAGATTCTCGTTTAATCCAAGTATCTGGACTATCTCGGTGTTTTCGGTCAGCTTTGGGCCTTCCCCCCCAACCATCCTAAACTGAGTGGAAAATATCCCCCATTACATTCTCCCTTCCCCGTATAAAAAAAAAAAAGTTCACTTTTTTTTTTCATTATCGTTAATGGATAGGAGTATATTTTATGTAATGCTTGGTTATTTTCACTGGTATCAGAGGTAAAAAATTTATTCCACCCCTTTTGGGTAATTCATGTTTTTCCTTTGGAACTTTGTCAGTTGTCATGCCCAGTGAGTATTATGTGGCGTAATGGAATCAACACCCCAGGCAATACTCTTTCAATTGCGGAAGACCATAAAGGCTCTACGCGTTTCCCACCTCATCCCACAGTCTGTCAAACGACAGAAAATCACCCCAGGCACTACTCTTCCAAGTGCGGAAATCCATAACGGCTATGGAACAATAATGTAAACCCGTAAAGTCCCACCCTTGCCACTATACTCACCGAACATCCACTGATGTTATTTCCATTGGATATTCATTTATTTCCCCTTATAGGTGATATGGATTTTATCTCCCCTACCTATAGTGATTTCCCACCAGTCTATTACATTTCTAATAATTATCTCCCTTTACGTTTTCAAAAATATTACAATGTATCACTTAAATTTCCTGTATACATTTCAATTGTTGAGTGATATTATATATTCAAAACATTAAATAGCATATTTCATCGTCACAACTTTGCATTTTCAATTTTGAAACATTGTTTACATTTTGTATTTAATAAATATTCATATCTAATTCCAAAATATTTCGTCACGTCACCTTATGTCTATGTCCAGTATTCGTCACAATGACATGATATATACAATTTATACACAATATATATACATATATAAAAATCATATGTGTCGATCAACAATAACATTTCAGATAATCAAAACATACATCCTAGAATAAGACTTACAATCTTGACATTACATCAGGCAGGTGATTATAGATGCCTTTGATGTGCTGTATTTTAAATTTAAACGTTTCGGTCAGCTTTGGGCCTTCCCCCCAACCATCCTAAACTGAGTGGAAAATATCCCCCATTACAAGGTACGGATTTGATTCAAGACTTACAAACCAGCTGGCTGTCATGAGTTTGCGTCAAACTGACCGTTACTGTTTCCTTTGTGTTGATTGACCCGTTGTTCTAGAGCGCCGGAACTTGAAAGCTCAGGCACCTGAAACCCGCTCTCAAATTCTATCCTAAATATTTTTTAGAGAATGTGTGAGCGCTTGGAATAAGGGGGGGGGGGGGGGGGGGGGGAAAAATCTGAGCCAGATGCTACGAATTGTTTGTTAGAAGTCGCCTGTGGGCCTCCATTCCTAGAAAATGTGCAAGGGGCTAAGTTGCCCTGCCCCTACCCCATTTAAGCCCTTCAGCTTTGCAAAAAAGTTCATTTTATATTCAGATTTCATATTATTTGAAATATATTTTTGAAATAATTTATTTAAAAGTAATAATACGTTTAGGGTGGAGATAATGTGGGAGGTGAAAAAAAAAGGGGAGCATGCGTACATGTTTTCTAAGCGATGGCAAATGCCTTTAAGGGACGTAATCCTAACTTATGTGCATAATCGTAAATCATAACAATAATGTAATAAATAATAATAATAATAATGTCTTGAATAACAGATAAATATAACACATAATTGAGACAATATGAAATGTATAAACATGTGCATTTAAAGATAATTTCTACATACAGTTAAAAGGGTTACTAAGCTAATACAATTTTTGTTTCTAGTTCAAGGGAGGTTAAGGGACTTTAGCCGCCAGATATCGTCTCCTTTGCAGACACTCGTTATATGTTTTGTCATCCCTTTCCAGGTTTAATTTTTTTGTTATTTGAAGCCCTACTCAGGCTCTTGCCAGGGGCCGCAATATAGACCAGACATAAATATGGTCTAATGGCTGAACAAGGTTTCTGTGACCTCTCCACGGGTGATCCTCATCCAGATGGTGACACTTTGTGTCATTGTGTGTTTATCGCTTGTGTGATGTCCTGGTGCGGTAAAAGAAGAGAGATAGATAGAGAGACACTTGCCCACACACACTGAAACACACACACTCGCTCGCTTTTGCATGCACACACACACAGAGAGAAAGAGAGAGAGAAAGAGAGAGAGAGAGAGAGAGAGAGAGAGAGAGAGAGAGAGAGAGAGAGAGAGAGAGAGAGTAATGACATCAGTGCTGTACAAATCAGAAAGAACAGAAGAAACGACATTCTGTGTAAACCGAAATCAAGGGGAGAGTGTTGTGGCTGTCATCGATCGAGCTCTAATGTTTGAAGGATAAGAAGAGACACTACAGAAACCATATAAACATCGATCATTTATACACGCCCTAAAAGCCAGGCAGACAGAGGCCTGTAGGCCATGAATAGATCCAGACTTGGAGATAAGAAACAATTTCTGGACAAATCCCGCATTTAAAGTCCCTTTATATGCCCCCCCCCCACACACACACATATATATACACACACACATACGTATACATACACACACATATGTGCGGGTGTGTTTGTGTGAACATAAGCACATGAGTATTGCAAAATAGACAACGATTAAAAAAAAAAAAAAAAGAGCAGGTAAGGTTTTTTTTCGGGCCGCAGAAGAAAAACTAATTACAAATCTAAACAGACTGGGAAAATACAAGACAGAAAGCGAGAGAAATTCGCCACAGCCTTCCATCATTCCATGCGACCACGTAGATGCCGTTGATGGGGAGATGCCACCTACTGCAGCTGGGAGCCGACAACATCAGTGTTTCTCAACCTGTTTTTTGTTTTTACCCTGGCGACCCATCAAAACAAGGGAAATGGTCTCGCGGCTTACCAAAATAAGGAAATTGTTTCACGGCCCACCAAAACAAGGAAATTGTTTCACGGCCCACCAAAATAAGGGACATTGTTTCACAGCCCACAAAAAAAGGGAAATTGTCTCGCAACCCACCTGACAACAAACATAAAAGTAAATTAACGAATTCAACTCCACACTCGCGTTGTAGGAATCATAACACCACTACAAGAATTATTGTCCTGATTCCCAGCACAGACTGGACTACATCGGACGTAATCTTCGGGTGCCATTTTATGATTTTTTTAAAAATGGAGTTGAAGAAAATTTATGTGATTTGGGCCGGTTTGATTCTCATCCTTTAGATGTTGAATTCTAAAGACAGCAATCACGGAAGAGAAAAACTACGTAGGCTACTCTGTTACATGATAAGGTATACATTTTTGGCGGGCCGCTTTGGCTTTTCCGCAGGCCACTTGGATGTTTCCGAGGCCCACCAGTTAAAGAGCACCGCACTAGACCATAGGTCTCCAAAAAAAGGGGAAGGAGGGTGGGTGGGGTTGGGGTGTGGGGGGGGGGCCGCTGGTCTTGCCATATACTCAAGGGGACTGGTTGTCTTACCATATATTTAAGTGTTCTGGTTGTCTCACCATATACTCAGGTGTACTGGTTGTCTTGCCATATACTCAAGTGGACTGGTTGTCTCGCCATATACTTAAGTGGGACTGGTTGTCTTGCCATATACTCAAGTGGACTTGTTGTCTTGCCATATACTCGAGTGGACTGGTTGTCTTGCCATATACTTAAGTGGACTGGTTGTCTTGCCATATACTCAAGTGGACTAGTTGTCTTGCCATATACTTAAGTGGACTGGTTGTCTTGCCATATACTTAAGTGGACTGGTTGTCTTGCCATATACTCAAGTGGACTTGTTGTCTTGCTATTTACTTAAGTGGACTGGTTGTCTTGCCATATACTCAAGTGCACTGGTTGTCTTGCCATATACTTAAGTGGACTAGTTGTCTTGTCATATACTCAAGTGGACTGGTTGTCTTGCCATAGACTTAAGTGGAATGGTTGTCTTGCCATATACTCAAGTGGACTGGTTGTCTTGCCATATACTCAAGTGGACTGGTTGTCTTGCCATATACTCAAGTGGACTGGTTGTCTTGCCATAGACTCAAGTGGACTGGTTGTCTTGCCATATACTCAAGTGGACTAGTTGTCTTGTCATATACTCAAGTGGACTGGTTGTCTTGCATATACTCAAGTGGACTGGTTGTCTTGCCATATACTCAAGTGGGACTGGTTGTCTTGCCATATACTCAAGTGGACTGGTTGTCTTGCCATATACTCAAGTGGACTGGTTGTCTTGTCAAATACTCAAGTGGACTGGTTGTCTTGCCATAGACTCAAGTGGAATGGTTGTCTTGTCATATACTCAAGTGGACTGGTTGTCTTGCCATATACTCAAGTGGACTGGTTGTCTTGCCATATACTCAAGTGGACTGGTTGTCTTGCCATATACTCAAGTGGACTGGTTGTCTTGCCATAGACTCAAGTGGACTGGTTGTCTTGCCATATACTCAAGTGGACTGGTTGTCTTGTCATATACTCAAGTGGACTTATTGTCTTGCCATAGACTCAAGTGGAATGGTTGTCTTGTCAAATACTCAAGTGGACTGGTTGTCTTGCCATATACTCAAGTGGACTGGTTGTCTTGCCATATACTCAAGTAGGACGCGACCTGAAAAAAAGGTTAGAGACCGCTGCTCTAGACTACGGAGTTGTGGAAAGTACAGCCAGGTCCGGCAACTGCAACTATCTCACCCAGTGGACAACATAGCAAACACTTGGCGCTACCCAATATTTGTCACTTCAGTTGTCAGTGATGATGAATTCATCGTAAAAACCGACGAGGCTTTGCCGACAGGTAATCAATAATTAATAACAGTCACGGGGCAATCAACTTGTTCGTTTCATCTAGGAAATACAACCTGACTGCACTACTCAAACACACGATGGTGTTGGGGATTTGATACATCCGCCATCTTCCCGCCTTCACTGATTTTCAAACGACAAGATCAGATAACTTCATAAAAAATGGGGTTGAGTGTAACAGTGGAGTGAAGGGGTGGGGCGGGAAAAGGGGGGGGGGGGGGGGTTTATTTAGCAAATGAGAAAGAAATCGGGTGTTTCACTTGGGGCAGAACCCAGAATTCCGTTCATAGCTCGGACAGGGTAACGAAATTTGGAGTAGACTTGATGTAAATTAAGTCACATTTGAAGATAGTGATAGTAATTTAAGTGTTGATGAAGTATTGTTGTTACAAGTGTTGATGATGTACCTGATGGTTTACATTCAGTTACAAGTGTTGATGTTATATCTGATGGTTTACCTTCAGTTACAAGTTTTGATGTTATATCTGATGGTTTACCTTCAGTTACAAATGTTGATGTTATATTTGATGGTTTGCCTTCAGTTACAAGTGTTGATGTTATATCTGATGGTTTACCTTCAGTTACAAGTGTTGATGTTACATCTGATGGTTTACTTTCAGTTACAAGTATTGATGATGTACCTATTTTCTTGATATACCTGCTGTTACAGGTGTTGATGGTGTACCTACAGTTACAATTGTTGATGGTGTACCTACAGTTACAAGTGTTGATGTTCTACCTACAGTTACAGGTGTTGATGGTGTACATACAGTTACAGCTGTTGATGTTGTATCTGACGTTACAGGTGTTGATGGTGTATCTACAGTTACAAGTGTTGATGTTGTACCTACAGTTACAAGTGTTGATGGTGTACCTACAGTTACAGGTGTTGATGGTGTACCTACAGTTACAGGTGTTGATGGTGTACCTACAGTTACAGGTGTTGATGGTGTATCTACAGTTACAGGTGTTGATGGTGTATCTACAGTTACAGGTGTTGATGGTGTACTTACAGTTACAGGTGTTGATGGTGTACCTACAGTTACAAGTGTTGATGGTGTACCTACAGTTACAAGTGTTGATGGTGTACATACAGTTACAAGTGTTGATGGTGTACCTACAGTTACAGGTGTTGATGGTGTACCTACAGTTACAGGTGTTGATGGTGTACCTACAGTTACAGGTGTTGTATCTACAGTTACAAGGTGTTGATGGTGTACCTACAGTTACAGGTGTTTACATGGTGTACCTACAGTTACAGGTGTTGATGGCTGTACCTACAGTTACAGGTGTTGATGGTGTACCTACAGTTACAGGTGTTGATGGTGTACCTACAGTTACAGTTACACGTGTGATGGTGTACTTACAGTTACAGGTGTTGATGGTGTACCTACAGTTACAGGTGTCGATGGTGTTACAGGGATGTTACAGGTGTTGATGGTGTACCTACAGTTACAGGTGTTGATGGTGTACCTACAGTTACAGGTGTTGATGGTGTACCTACAGTTACAAGTGTTGATGGTGTACCTACAGTTACAGGTGTTGATGGTGTACCTACAGTTACAAGTGTTGATGGTGTACCTACAGTTACAGTGTTGATGGTGTACACTACAGTTACAGGTGTGATGGTGTACCTACAGTTACAAGTGTTGATGGTGTACTTACAGTTACAGTGTTGATGGTGTACTACAGTTACAGTGTGATGGTGTACCTACAGTTACAGGTGTTGATGGTGTACCTACAGTTACAAGTGTTGATGGTGTACCTACAGTTACAGGTGTTGATGGTGTACCTACAGTTACAGGTGGTGTGATGGTGTACCTACAGTTACAAGTGTTGATGGTGTACTACAGTTACAGTGTTGATGGTGTACCTACAGTTACAAGTGTTGATGGTGTACCTACAGTTACAAGTGTTGATGGTGTATCTACAGTTACAGGTGTTGATGGTGTACCTACAGTTACAGGTGTTGATGGTGTACCTACAGTTACAAGTGTTGATGGTGTACCTACAGTTACAAGTGTTGATGGTGTACTTACAGTTACAGGTGTTGATGGTGTACCTACAGTTACAAGTGTTGATGGTGTACCTACAGTTACAGGTGTTGATGGTGTACCTACAGTTACAAGTGTTGATGGTGTACCTACAGTTACAAGTGTTGATGGTGTACCTACAGTTACAAGTGTTGATGGTGTACCTACAGTTACAGGTGTTGATGCTGTACCTACAGTTACAAGTGTACACCTACAGTGTACAAGTGTTGATGGTGTACCTACAGTTACAGGTGTTGATGGTGTACCTACAGTTACAAGTGTGATGGTGTACCTACAGTTACAAGTGTTGATGGTGTACCTACAGTTACAAGTGTTGATGGTGTACTACAGTTACAGGTTGTGGTGTACTACAGTTACAGTGTGTTGATGGTGTACCTACAGTTACAGGTGTTGATGGTGTACCTACAGTGTATGGTGTACCTACAGTTACAGGTGTTGATGGTGTACCTACAGTTACAAGTGTTTGATGGTGTACCTACAGTTACAAGTGTTGATGGTGTACCTACAGTTACAAGTGTTGATGGTGTACCTACAGTTACAGGTGTTGATGGTGTACCTACAGTTACAATTGTTGATGGTGTATGTACCCACAGTTACACAGTTTGTTGATGGTGTACGTTACAGTTACACAGTGTTTGATGGTGTACCTACAGTTACAGGTGTGATGGTGACAGGTTACTTAGGTGGTGATGGTGTACCTACAGTTACAAGTGTTGATGGTGTACTTACAGTTACAGGTGTTGATGGTGTACCTACAGTTACAGGTGTTGATGGTGTACCTACAGTTACAGGTGTTGATGGTGTACCTACAGTTACAAGTGTTGATGGTGTACACTTACAGTTTGACAGTTACAGTGTTGATGGTGTACCTACAGTTACAAGTGTTGATGGTGTACCTACAGTTACAGGTGTTGATGGTGTACCTACAGTTACAGGTGTTGATGGTGTATCTACAGTTACAGGTGTTGATGGTGTACCTACAGTTACAAGTGTTGATGGTGTACTTACAGTTACAGGTGTTGATGGTGTACCTACTACAGTTACACAGTTACAGGTGTTGATGGTGTACCTACAGTTACAAGTGTTGATGGTGTACCTTACAGTTACAGGTGTTGATGGTGTACCTACAGTTACAGTGTGATGGTTGTATGGTACAGTTACAGGTACAGTTACATGTGTGTGATGGTGTACCTACAGTTACAGTGTTGATGGTGTACCTACAGTTACAGTGTTGATGGTGTACCTACAGTTACAAGTTACAGTGTGTTGATGGTGTACCTACAGTTACAAGTGTTGATGGTGTACCTACAGTTACAAAGTGTTGATGGTGTACTACAGTTACAAGTGTTGATGGTGTACCTACAGTTACAGGTGTTGATGGTGTACCTACAGTTACAGGTGTTGATGGTGTACCTACAGTTACAAGTGTTGATGGTGTACCTACAGTTACAAGTGTTGATGTGTACCTACAGTTACAAGTGTTGATGGTGTACCCTACAGTTACAAGTGTGATGGTGTACCTACAGTTACAAGTGTTGATGTACAGTTACAAGTGTTGATGGTGTACCTACAGTTACAAGTGTTGGTGATGGTGTACCTACAGTTACAAGTGTTGATGGTGTACCTACAGTTACAGGTGTTGATGGTGTACTACAGTTACAGTTTGTTGTGTACCTACAGTTCAGGTGTTGATGGTGTACCTACAGTTACAGGTTTGATGGTGTACCTACAGTTACAAGTGTTGATGGTGTACCTACAGTTACAGTGTTGATGGTGTACCTACAGTTACAGTGTTGATGGTGTACCTACAGTTACAGTGTGTTGATGGTGTACCTACAGTTACAAGTGTTGATGGTGTACCTACAGTTACAGGTGTTGATGGTGTACCTACAGTTACAAGTGTTGATGGTGTACCTACAGTTACAGGTGTTGATGGTGTACCTACAGTTACAGGTGTTGATGGTGTACCTACAGTTACAGGTGTTGATGGTGTACCTACAGTTACAGGTGTTGATGTTGTACAGTACAGTTACAAGTATCTGTTACAGATGGTGTACCTACAGTTACAGGTGTTGATGGTGTACCTACAGTGGTGTTGATGGGTACCTACAGTTACAAGTGTTGATGGTGTACTACAGTTACAGGTGTTGATGGTGTACCTACAGTTACAAGTGTTGATGGTGTACCTACAGTTACAGGTGTTGATGGTGTACCTACAGTTACAAGTGTTGATGGTGTACCTACAGTTACAGGTGTTGATGGTGTACCTACAGTTACAAGTGTACAACAGTTACAGGTTTGATGCTGTACCTACAGTTACAAGTGTTGATGGTGTATCTACAGTTACAGGTGTTGATGGTGTACCTACAGTTACAAATGTTGATGGTGTACCTACAGTTACAGGTGTTGATGGTGTACCTACAGTTACAAAGTGTTGATGGTGTACCTACAGTTACAGGTGTTGATGGTTGTACCTACAGTTACAAAGTGTGACCTACAGTTACAGTGTTGATGGTGTACCTACAGTTACAAGTGTTGATGGTGTACCTACAGTTACAAGTGTTGATGGTGTACCTACAGTTACAGTGTTGATGGTGTACCTACAGTTACAATTGTGTTTGATGATGTACCTACAGTTACAAGTGTTGATGGTGTACCTACAGTTACAAGTGTGATGGTGTACCTGATTACAAGTGTGTGACCTACAGTTACAAGTGTTGATAGGTGTACCTACAGTTACAAGTGTTGATGGTGTACCTACAGTTACAAGTGTTGATGGTGTACCTACAGTTGTGTAAGATTGTTACAGTTACAGGTGTATGGTGTACCTACAGTTACAGGTGTTGATGGTGTACCTACAGTTACAGGTGTTGATGGTGTATCTACAGTTACAAGTGTTGATGGTGTACCTACAGTTACAAATGTTGATGGTGTACCTACAGTTACAAGTGTTGATGGTGTACCTACAGTTACAAGTGTTGATGGTGTACCTACAGTTACAAGTGTTGATGGTGTACCTACAGTTACAGGTGTTGATGGTGTATCTGATGTTACAGGTATTGACGGTGAACCTGTTGTTACAAGTTGTAATGATGTGTATATATTGCTACATGTGTGATTTGACAGGTTTAGGTTTGGACGACATATCAACATCGTGGCACCCATAAGTGCTTCTTTCTACTTGTGACTCAAGCATGAGTTCGAAGAATCTCAACGCAGTGCACGAACCCTGTAGCACTTGCGAGGATCATGAAATACTTTAGGTATATTTTTAATTGAAAATTTTGCCTCTGGCAGCGCCGTTAAGCTAGTCTTATTCGATTTCCAACTGTCAAGGGAATTTCTTACGAGCTTCATTCCCAAAGACCAGGGGAAATTACTAGCAGTCCACGTGAAAAAAAAAAAAAAAAATAAACCTTAGCCCTAACGGGGCCTGAACCCGGGATCTCCAGCACTCAAGGCGGACGCCATGCCCCAATGTGATTTGACAGTACAGTGCAGATATTTGTACGGTGGTATATAAGATAATGTCTACCCTGCTACAAGTTAGATAACCAGTCAGTTGAATCATGTTTCCCTCCTAAAAAATTGCAGGCTGCCGAAGGTGGAGGATCGGCTGTCCGAACGGTTAGGACGCTTGGCTCTCAAGCAGGTGACTCAGGTTTTAATACCCTGTAAGGCTAGGGATTTTTGTCTGTCCAGGGGAAAATAAAATCCCCACTTGCACAGTCCGTGGCGATAGCACTAGCCATGCGGCCGTAAATTCTCAGGCTCAAAGTCCCCCACCCTTCTCCCACCTGCATCCTCCCTCGCCCACACCGCACAAGTGGTAAAATAAAGACAGTCATTGGCAACTGTCAATTAAAGGTGTTAAAAAAGGTTAGTTGCGTATCCTTCACAGGACGTTGCAGAACCAACCCCAGCAGCCCCTGACTGTTGTGTGGTTTCTCTAGGCTAATTTACGTCCAGTAGTTTGCCATTCCTTATGGACGGTCGGCCCCTTGATACCACTGGGATCGAACCCGACACCCCAGCATTACGAATCGTTCGCATCAACTTAGCCACAGAGCCGAATGAAGGTGTATTACATCATGAATTTATGTACAGCTCATTTATTGTTACAATTTCTACAGTAACAGTTTGTTGCATAGTCTCTAACAACTCAGTGAGTGTTACGACATTCGCTAGGATATTGTTTGTAACATACTCCATATACAACTCAATCATTGTAACAACATTTCCCCCACAGGACACAGTTAGTTACATACTGCTCGTGGTTTGTTATGCATACATTAGAGGACAAATGAGTTCACGAGTCCGCTGGTTGTAGGCAAACGCTTCATGCTGATTTCATTTTGTGGTAGTCAACCACAAACCGTTTAACAAGTCCGGTCGGCCTATTCCCTTGGGGAGTACCCAACTCTTTTCATTCCCGACAAACAATCCACAACACCAGCTACCGACCCACCTCCCATATCACCGGTGGTAATCGGTACGGTGTTTAATGAAACAGATAACCCAACTGGCTGTAGCGCAGTGTACACATGCGTACGCTGGGACTGCAGTGCTCAGCCTCCCGGTCCAATATTGATTGGGTCATTATTTTACTGCACCGCCACTACTGATATCAGATCTTATCAGGTGATTGTTCTGTGGTCGTACTCCAGACTGGCCTGGCTCCAGTGATGCCGAAGTTGGTACTTACGGTCAAATCAGGCACTGTTTGACCATTACTGAGCAAAACTGCAGTTTTGGTATC